TTCTGCACACCAAAATGCTTGCTGAAAGGGTAATAATACTACAGAGGTTACACACTCCATGGCCTGCCATCCAGAATGTAACAGGTTGCTATTATTTTACATGTGCCCATCAACCACAGTTGGTTGGGGTGTAAAGTGAGACAGGACTTGGCTGTTATATGAATAAACGTTGTGTTTACTCTTCCTTCAAAAGAATCTTTTCTTGCTCTACTCAGTACGTAGACACCCATGAAGTGCAGAGATGCTTGGAGCAGTGTAGGGGCATGTAAAGATGGTACACTAAATCACATAATTTCTCATGAACTGTTGAACATCTGTTCTTGTATCCTACCTATCTGTAGGGAAACTCTGTCAAATTAATACTGCCCCAGGTGATATGAGGCTTTGAGCAACCTGGTCAAGTAGAAGGTGTCCTTGTCCCATGGCAGGGGGTTGAAACTAGATGAGCTTTTAAAGTCCCTTCCAACCCAAACCATTCTGTGATTCTATGATTTGGAGAAGGCTTCTGTTACCCTTTTTCCTGTGTCATTTATTTCCCTAGATGCTACAGAGAAAAGGAAGTGCCTTGCTTTACAAACAGGCCTGCTTTGTTTTTTACACGGACGCAGCTCAGGCTACACAACAGCCTTGCAGTCTGGGAAAAAAAAAAAGAGAAGGAGGAGTCAGAACATATTTTCTTGTTGTGTTCAGCTTTTTATTTTAATTTCTTTTATTTCACAGCATCTTTCTAAATTGGAGATACATGGATTTGATGGATGGACTGTTCAGGGGATGAGGAATTGGTTGGATGATCACATCCAGAGAGCAGTGGTCAGTGGCTCAATGTCCATATGGAGATCACCCCTAAATGGTGTCTCTTGGGGGTCTGTACTGGGACCAGTACTGCTGAATACCTTCGTCAATGACATAGACAGTAGAATCGAGTGCGCTTTCAGCAAGTTTGCCGAGAACACTAAGCTGAGCGGTGCAGTTGATGCCTCTGAGGGACAGGATGCTATTCAGAGGGACCTGGACAAGATCAAGAACTGGGCCATATATGAACCTCATGAGGTTCAACAAGGCCAAGTGCAAGGTCCTGGGTTGGGGCAACCCCTGCTATCAATACAGGCTGAGGGATGAAGAGATTGAGAGTACCCCTGAGCAGTAGGATTAGGGTTAGATGAAAAACTGGTCATGAGCTGACAACGTACACTTGCAGCCCAGAAAGCCAACCATGTCCTTGGCTGCATCACCAGCAGCCTGACCAGCAGGTCAAGGGAGGGGATTCTCCCCCTCTACTCTGCTCTGCTGAGACCCCACCTGCAGTCGTGAGTCCAACTCTGGGGTCCTTAGTACAGGAAAGACATGGACCTGCTGGAGAGGATCCAGAGGAGGACATAAAAATGATCAGAGGGATGGAACATTCTTCTATGAGGAAATGCTGAGGGAGTTGTGGTTGTTCAGAAGAAAAGGCTCTAGGAAGACCTTACTGTGGCCTTTCAATACTTAAAGGGGTTATAACAAAGATGGGGACAGGGCCTGTAGAGATAGGACAAGGGGGAATGGTTTTAAACTAAAAGAGGGTAGATTCTGACTAGATATAAGGAAGAAGATTTTTATGAAGAGGGTGATAAAGCAGTGAACATGTTTCCCAGAGAGGTGGTACATACCCTATCTCTGGAAACGTTCAAGGTCAGGTTGGACAGGGCTCTGAGCAACTTGATCTACATGAAGATGTCCTTGTTCATTGCAGGGGGGCTGGAATAGATGACCTCTGAAGGTCCCTTCCAACCCAAACCATTCTGTGAATCGATGATTCACTCTAGGGATATTTTTTAGTGTTACTTCAATACTTATCTCTGTGCTGACTTCCTTAATTTTTGCTATTGCTTTAGATTGCCACCGTGGCAATAGGCATTGCTTGAAATAGAAGATGGTCTTTCAGAAGGAACACAGGGCAAAAGAGCTCTGAGGAGAGGACTCCTACTCGGAGACACTGGATGGTAATCTTCTCCCTCCTCTACAATGGAATTTCCCTTCCCTTCAGAATATTTTCTCTCTATGATACAGAACTTTGATAGCCAATAAATAGACATAAGGTGCAGCTCCAGTGCCAGGAAGAATTAATTTTACAAGCAATTTTCAAAGGTGGCTGTCATGGAGGTTTTAAAGAGAAACTCTTGCTCGTACAGTGCAGGGAAATGTGATGACTGCTGTTCTTGTAGCTGTAGCAGGGAGTGTAGTTGTAACCAGAAAAGCATTCAGAGTCCAAGCATCACCACCAAGAAAACCCACTGAACTATTTTTATGTTTTCAGAACTTTTTTTGGTGACATGTTTCTCAAGCAGTGTCAGCCCCTCTGTTCCCGAGGTTGCTAGCCAGCAGGAGGCTTTGGGAACAGGCTCTTTACCCTTGCTGTCTCACCCACACAGAAACCCCTTAAATGTTGATTCAAATGATACCAGGGGGACATTTTTCATGCTTTTTTTTTAAATATTAGTTTCTCTCTTACAAACCTTTGTGAGCCGTCTCTCTCTTTAAACTCCTTTCTGCCAGGAAGTCTCTGTCCCGTAACACTCTAATCCTTTGGCTTGTATGTCTCCAGATTTCCCTGTATGAGTTACAGGCATATGTGTCCTGTTTGTCCCTGTTGGAGCAGAAGGTCTTGGCAGACGGACTCTGGGTACTGCAGGAAATCTCAAGCACTGGCAAATGCTAAAGGATTGCCATTCTCTGCCTTTTTCCTTCTGTAGTCCCATTACCACGTTATTTTTTTTTTTTTTGTGAGCTCCCAGTCCTGTTTGTGGTTGCCATTACCAGTCTCACTGGGATCTTCACACTGGAAACCACTGCGCTGGAAATGCTGGGACTGCAATTCCAGATGTGGCACTTGTAAATCCTGTCTGTGCAGGAAAGTTTGCAACCTTAAAGTAAATAGCATGGAACATAACAGAATGAGGGGAGGGGAGGGAAAGGGAAGGGAAAAGAAGGGAAGGGAAGCCCTTTAGATACTTGAAGGCTACTATAAGGTCTCCCCAGAACTGTGAGTAGTCACCCATCACAGCAAGGTTGGTGCGTGGCTTGGATCAGCCACAAGTGGACCTACCTGGTTTAATATCTCTTTCTACAGTGGGTATATTTCTGTTTTGATATCTCTCAGTCCAAAGTCCTTTGTCAGTCAGCATTGTCTTTATCTGTTTTAGCCTCTTGTATAAAATACTGCTGCGTTCTCATGTGCACTCAGATGCTGCTATTTCTCTATAAAATGCTGCCAGTCCTAAATTGCCTGTGCAGGTTGACAGGGTCAGGTAGGGAAGTAAAGAAGCAATACTCAGATACAGCAGGAACAGCAGCAGCCACACTGCACTTTACTACGGGACCTTCGGCTCCAAGATACCAAGGGCTGGGAGCAGCTGGCTAAGTTCCATGATTCAGGAGGTTAGACCCATTGAAAGTAAAGTCCATTCACTGTCCTCAACAAAGAAATCTTTCTTCCAGTTATTTGTCTGGTGCCGGGCAGTTTGGTTTTTTTTTTAAACAGATTGAAAACAAAACTGTTTTTCAGTTGGTGTTCACGCAAAGTTTTGCCATTAATGATTTATATTTGCTCAGAGTTGGGCTCCAGTTTATTACAGACTTTCATCAAGAAAGGTCAACTTCAGGTTTTCCTGTCTACAAGAAAGCTGAGGATTTTTTCTAGGGTTTAAATGCCACCTAAAAAAAGGCCTCTTTAAAATACATGTTCTTTATACATTAAAGCAGCAGCAAGATAGAGAAGAAAACTTTATTTTTCTTTGCAGGTCAACTTCAAGGTCAGGACTATAAGCCTTTTGTAACTCCTTGAAATTTTAAACTGCTTTCTTAGTTAAATTGAATACCACTGCCTTTAGAACTAAAACAAACCACTGCACCTTTTCCCCTTCTGAGGAAAGGAAGTCTGGGGGGGGGGGAATCTGCAATGGAGTAAGCAATAAGACCTAATTCCTGAGTATTTGATCCTGGAGTTTGAGGTGGGCAGGGATCCATGGGGCACCAGGAAGAAATCTCAGCTGCTGCTGTAGCACCTACAGCAAGGTAGATAAATTAGTACATGGCAACTGGGAAACCTGGAATTCCTTATCTCTTAAATGAAACAAAACTATAAAGTGTATCATCCATCTGTTAAGTACTTGCTTGTGATTTTCAACTCTTAGCCTTGCAAAAACAGTGTCAGGGGATGCCAGGCACACCCTTATTGTTTCCATCTCTATACAAGGCCATTGAGCAACTTCTTTTCCTATTGTAGAATTGGTGTCAAGGGGAAAAGGAGACTCAGATGGAAATTCCTGACTTCTGCTGTTTCATTTTATCCCTGCTAGGAAGGCGGGGGCAGAACCTGACATGCTTCAGGATGAGCTAGGTGCTGGTCAGCTCTCTGCCACCCGTCCCCAGCATTGCAAAGGCCTCATGTTGAGAAGCAGGGTTTCTACCCTTTTCCTAGTGCCTCATCACCCTCACAGAGAAGAACTTCTTCCTAATATCTCATCTCAATCTGCCCTCTGTCAGGTTAAAGCCATCCCCCCTTGTCCTGTCACTACAGGCCCTTGTCAAAAGCCCCTCTCCAGATTTCTTGTCAGTCCTTTTAGGCACTGGAAGCTGCTCTAAGGTCTCCTCAGGGCCCTCTCTTTTCCAGGCTGAACAAGCCCAGCTCCCTCAGCCTGTCTCTATAGACGAGTGACTCCAGCCTTCAGAGCATCTTCATGGCCTCCTCTGGACTCCCTCTAACAGATCAGGTAAACACACGTATTTCTCTTTATTAAGACAAGTCACCTGACAGCAGTGGAAATATCTTCCAGTTCACCAAATTATCGGTTCAGTGCTCACGAAGTCTCCTTCTAGAAGCTTAAGCAGCCATGGCCAAGGTCGCTTTCCCAGGGGCGGTTCCGAAATGGATGATGGAGGAGGAGAAGGAGGGTCGTTTCCAGCGCCTTCCCCATTCCCCGCCCTCTCCCTTCCTCCTCCACCTCCTCCTCCTCCTCGCCGAGCGCAGCGCCCCGAGCATGGAGCCTGCCTGAGACGCTCCGTGGGCTCCGGCAGCTGCGGCGGCGGCGGCGGCACAACATGGAGGCTGTGGCCCCGCCGCTCCCGTTGCTGCTGCTGCGGCTCTTGGCCGCCTCGGTGCTGCGGTGCGGGCCGGGCTCGGCTGCGGGTAAGCTCTCAGGGGCTCGGGGCGGCGGGAGGCTGGAGCCGGTGTCCCTTTTGTTGTCGGACTTGAGCAAACTTTCCCTCGCGCTTCGCCGGGGTTGGGGAGGGGTGGCCCGGCCCGGCCCGGGCTCCGGCTCCGGCGGCGGAGGAAGGACGCGCACATGGACGGGACGGGAGGAGGAGGAGGAGGGCGGGAGGCTGGGTGAATCTTCCCCCCGAAACTATTCCTCGTCACCCATGTTCGTGCAAAGGGGGACGCAGGAGGAGGAGGCCTCTGCTTCCCGTCCCTCCTGCGGGGTGAACCCGGTTTCCCCCCCGCGGGTGGCTCAGGTAAACGGGTACAGTTGCCACAAGAGAGACAAAAGTCGCCCCCCTCCCCGTTTTCTTCTCGTTCCGTTCCCGTCCTTCCGCGGTTCCGAGCAGGGATTTCGCTAGGGTGTCGGGTGTCGCTCATCAAACTCTTGGCAGGGCTGGGGAGGGGGTGGGGGGAAAAGAGAATGGAAAGAAAATGTGTGCGTGTGGGTCCCTTCCGGGCCCCCCAGCTCCGTTTTAAGGCTGTGGGACAGGGGGGGCTGCGGCAGGAGGAACCGGCCGGCCCAGCTGGAAGCGGCGGCGGGCGGTGTCCGGCCCGGGCCCGAGTGCGGGGTCCGGGCCCGGGCCCAGTGCCGCGGTGGCTGCCGGAGCTGTGTCCCGTCTGTCCTGTGCCGGCGGAGCGCCGGGCCCCGCGGTCACCCGCCGCCGGTCCCGGGCGCGGAGTCTGCCCTTTGCTTTCCGTTTTTAAGCGAACGCGTTAATCTTTTAAAAGCACGAATTGAGGCAGTGCTCTGCCTGTAGCACCCGTGGGGAGAGGCTGAGGTCTGTTCCCCATCCTTTCTGCTCATCCCTGCTTCGGTCCCTACTTGGCATCCCCGAAGATGGGGAGTTAGGGCTGCATGTGTGAGACTTTTGGGATTGTTTTGCTGCTGTGTCTGGTCTGCCCGGATACGTTACCCCCGAGGTTCAGCAAGCTGAAGCCTAGTTGTGATTTCCTATGTAGAAAATTCGGCAGTGTGGCCAAGGCTGTCAGAACATCACCTCGGGGCCTCCTTTATTAGGCCACCCACCTTTTCAAACTGTCTGTAACTATTAGAACTGTCAGAGCCAGAGAACAGCATTTTCTGCTGGCATCATCGTTCTGTATTTTTAGTTGGAGCTCTGTGCAGGTGTGTGTTATGTATTGCTTCTTCTGTTAGGGTTATGTGAAAAGATGCCCTTCACAGCTCTGGATGCACCTTCTCTGTGCATGTTGCCTTAGGTTTTTTTTTTTTAGATGTTTCAGAAAACCTGAAGCTTGGCTTTGTCCTCTTCTGAATGCTTACGTTTGTGTAAAGATGTTCATGTTCCTACTTGACTGAATGAAGCTATGTAGCTTTGGAGGTGGGGGAATCAACATAGAGGAGTCTCAGATGAAGAGAGAACAGGCTGATAGTGTTCTTGAGGATTTTCTTTACATCACTTAGCAGATTTAACCATTTACACTTACTTAACAGACTCTAATGGGAATATTAAAAAAGGGATAACTTTTGATTTGGAACTCTGAGCAAAATAAAAGTTCACAAGAAAACTCAAATAAGTTGTAACTTGGAGCTTGGTTTTCCTTCGCCATGTTTTAGAGACGGTGATTCTTTTAACATAGTCCGTGTTCTGTATCAAGAGTCACCTTCCTTAATGTGCATGGAAAAGCTCTTCTACAAATGTGCCTTTTTATTTTTTTTTTTTTTTTACTAATTAGCTAAAGAGTCATGGTTATAAATCTTAATGACATTGCTTTTGTTCTGCCTATTTAGTAGGAAGGTATGGGACTCTTTTGTTAAGTTGGTCTGGATGGTACTTTTAAGGACAGCTCATCTGTCCTTTCAGAAGGAGCATGGATGTACTTATGAGAGGCTTTCCACAGTTATAGTTCAATTTCTGAGAACCTCCACTCTGCTTACACAGATGCCTGACTTCAAGGGACTTTCAACTCTTATTTCTGTGTGCTTATCTTACAAATATTTAAATCCATCTCTGCAAGAGTGGGGATATCCTGGAACGTCTGCAGTTTTAAAGTGTCTGCAAAGTTTGGCATGTTGCAATGGATCCCGAATATTTTGGCTATGAAATAATTTTGCTGCAGAGCTGTGTCCTTGCTGTATACATGGTGGTGTCAGGAGTGGTGTTATTTATGTGGCTTGAAATAATGATGGACCTCTTTCAGATATGGGTTATACTTGACGCTTTTTTTACTGAGATAAGACAAAATGATCATTACATTCTTCTCAAGGAAGAATTATCTCAAGCAAGAATTATTTTTACTTAAACCCTCAAAAGCGTGGTTAGCTGTTGCTTGCCGTGCACTAAAACATTTCCCAAAACTGTGGGACTGTATCTTAGATTTCTTCAATGGAAAGACTATTTCTGTGTGAAGTGTCCCTGCCCATGACAGGGGGGTTGGAACTAGATGATCTTAAGGTCCTTTCCAACCCTAACTATTCCATGATTCCATGATTCTATTTGCCTGATACTAAGAAAAACGCAAGACAGAGGTGAGCAGAGAAATGTGACAGAGTGGTTACAAAAGTTTGAAACTAGAGATGGAGGTGGAATAAAAAGTGCATTTTAATTTTATTATGGGGAAATGTGATATGTAGGAGTCCTTAACTGCATTTCAGTGCCATTTCAGTTGGTTTGTCATTGATTTAGGGGGCTACTTTCCTAGTAACTACTACTAGCATAATATGAGGGTCTGTCACAAATTATGGTCATAAATCCTCTTGAAATAGTGAGGAAATACTGCAACTCCAGTCTGACTCTGAAGTTTAAGTTGATCCTTTAGAAGCATGGAGTCTTCAATCTCCAGACAAAATATGATGGCTTTAACAGTCTTAGGTATGGAGTGTGAATTCATTTGTTACTATTTCATTTTAAATTAAATCAGTTTCATTTTAAATTGATTTTAAAGCATCCACACATTCTTTAAGATTACTCATACTGTAGATGTGTCTGTAATACATAAATGAGCGTGACACACAAAGTCTGTACTTCAGAAGAGCGTGAATGCATTTCATCAATAGCCTGGTGTAAATTCCACCATTGCCTCTTGTATTTTTGCACTTTTTTATTTTTTTTATTTTTTTTTTAAACAATAGGTGCTTTAACTTTTATCTTAAGAATGTTTTTGGGTTTGTTTTTTACTGGTTTATAATGTGGTTTTGTTCCAGCTATGAATTTTCTCAGGCATATTTCTTGACTAATGCAAGCCAAGGTAACTTTTTTAACAAACACAGAGGTTGTTTCTAGGAACTTGTTACCCTTTATTGTTATGGTAAGCACTGGCAGCATAACAACAAGTAAAGGTTACAAAATCTCTCTGAATATAGACACACGTGACTTACAAAGGGTGTCTAATGTAACCTTGCTTCTAGTTAAAGTTTAGCCAGCAATACAGTTAGAAGTAGTTCTCTCTCTTTTTATTAAAGCACAAATAAAGAGATTTCTCTATTTGTAATGCTCAGAAATAGCTTTAATGACAAGGTTTAGTACGTGTTAGATCAGTATTTTTTGTGAACATGCTGTATTTTATGAAAACAATATGCCATCATGAGGTTGAGCACAATTACTATGCTTAAATTCTTTGTTAGAAAGAAGTTATGGTGGGTAACTTTATTTCTTGTCATTGTAAGAAATCCTCTAATTTTTTTTTTTTTTTTTTTTTTTGTTGTTATGTCTTTAACCCAAGAGCTATTAAACATTCAAAATGTTTGGCTTTTGTAAGTTTGGAATTTCTCATGGGAGTTGATATGGCTGGAAAAAACACAGCACTGAAACCACTTGAAGGAAGTAGTTGTTATTTTCTGCTCAAGACCTTTGTGCAGAACTCAAATAGCTGTCAACCTGAGCCTCGAGGTAGAGCAAATATCCCCCCAGTTTATGGCACAGGCCAGCAGTGATGCAATTCTACTACGCATAATGGAGTCAGCATTTAGTTTGGAGATTTTGAGGCATGTGGATTATTTTCCTTTTCTGCTAAATTGCTTTCCATCCGGATGTGTCCAACAACACTGCAGGTTCACTTAGGGTAGAAGCAAATAATTAGGTTATTGGCTGGGGACACTGGCTGGCCAAAGCCATGTGCTGTTTGGATGCTTGAAACTTTCTGAAGAAGTCAAAGATGTGCCGTCTCCTGACAGCCCACAGCTGGGACCTCTAACTGCAGGAATTACTTCTGGAGAGTCTTATTGCTATTAAATTAGGCTATGGAAAGTCTCATGATAGAGTCAAAGGATATTTTGAGTATGTCTTGAGATTTTGGGTGATGAAACAGTTGTGGTGAGAGGAGGAGAGAAACTGGGAAGTATGTCCCACAAAGTATTGCTTGGTACAGTGGTTTATTAGGAGTTTTTGGGCCAACAGTTCTTTCCACTCCTTCTCTCTCAGAAAAATCAGAATGTGGAGATCACCAGCATCTCATCTTTGTGGTTTCTGTTCAGTAAAGATTGAAAGTATCTGTTAAGCTGCAAAATTCTGCTGAAAAGCTCCAAAGAGTGTAAAGAATGGGTGTTGAGGGTCCCTGTAATAAATGGGATTTTCAGTTTCGCTGTTTCCTTTACTCTCATTTGACTTACACTTTGCCTGCCAGCATAGGGAGATGTCAGGTGTCATTTTGTATTAATGCTAAATCTATGGGGGACTTTTGCAAGGATGTTGGTAAATTGAAACATACTTGATTTAAATTGGTTTGTTTGCTCTGGATGATAAAAAGGTTAAAGCGACTGAAACTGCTTTTAGACCAATATATACTTTATATGAGTGTGATTTGTTAGATTAGCTTAATGGGGACAGTCTACTGGGAAAGGAATTTCTCAACTGTGAATAAGCTACCAAATTGTCTTCATTTCACAGTATGAAGGTTTATTGCTATTGCAGTAAACAGCACTGACAGCAGATGCAGTAGTAAGTTCCTACTATGATTGTCAATGGTGTGAG